GAGCCAACTATAATTTTAGGTGCTAAATAAAGTTTCAATGGAAAGAAACTTTAGGGACTCATCTAATGTAAGTAAGATTTTCCCCACGGCCACTGCTTTGACAGTGAGTATATCTAAAGTATTCGAAAACACATATTATAACCTCCTTGAATCGTTCCTTTACCTTCATGAATAGGCAATACGGTTTTAGGCCAGAAAGAGGAGTGGATGACAGCCTTGTCAGATTACTCTCAAATATTTATTCAGCAGCTGTTAAACGGGTGGAAAAATTTTAATGCAATTTTTTTGTGTCTCTGTGTGTCCTCGCTTCACAATTGGGCCCAATCAGATTATAGGATTTCTTAACTTCTCTGCTATGTCGTGTCCGATCAATACATGCACCAAGTCACTTTCGCCGTACAGTGCCCGTGTGTTTAAATAAATCCTGCTCGCTGGATATCATAATATCCGAGGTAATATCCCTCAACATCGAGCGTACGGAGTCGCGAGGGAGATTCTAACAAAATAATTTCCGTGTAATAATTCGATTTTAATCGCATTATTTATTACCGATTTCGTAATTAACAAACATTCTAAATGATTTTTACTCATGTCATGCCGCCTTTTTGGAGCGTTTGTCGTTTGCTGATCGATGCTATCTCAGTCAGCTTTTTACATAAGCCTGTGGAGTAAATCTGTCTTGAGGCGGTCCATGCCATGTCTAAGATTTTCACAGGAACGCCTTTCTGGCCCGTTTGGGACCCAATACACCACTGCAATTTATCCATTTTAGTGCGTAAGTGTGAGTATGTTTTGGCATAGAAATCCCCGTAATCCCCATTGATATTAACATTTTTATTATAAATAACACGGAATATCGAGGCAGAGTTATCTGAAACTTTCGTCATTTTTTCTCTGTTGACCCTAACTAGGATTTGTCCCTAGATAATTGTCTGTGATTGTATGTTGCATTTCGTTGCAGTTGTTGTTAAATATATATTTTATTTTAATGTATATTTCAAATATTTATCTTTGATTTTTTGTCAACTACATTCCAAAGGCGCCGTTAATAGTATATTATATACCGCGGGACTGAAGTAGTACTTTTAATCCCGAAGGGAATTTACCTGAGGGATTAAGACCACT